TATATATATATATATATCCCAGGGATATTGGTGGTGGGGAATGTGCACTGGTGGAGGGATGGGTGTTTGATCATTGTGTGATTGTAACCCAAACGTGAAAGCTTGTAACTATCTCACGGTGGTTCAAAAAAAAAAAAGGTGGAGTCTTAGATATTGGAGAGAAGTGACCCTTTGTTTCCTTTCACGCTGAATTCCCAAACTCCAGCATCTATTGCCTTGACCTACATGATTTTTTTCAAACTCTGGTCATTATGCTGCTGTCTTTGCTCTCAAGGATTCCTCCATTTCTGAGAGGTGGGGGACTTGATAGTAGAAGAATTTGTTGTTGGTGAGACTGACTGGTTACTGAGAGGGCTGTCTGATGCTGGGTGGGGAAGAACTTGGGATCCAGAAGCTGGTCAGCAGGCTGTAACTGGTATTTGTATTAAACCAGCTAGTGACTATCTGGCTGATTGCATAAGTTCAAAGCCTTGGTTTCCTCCAACTTGGGTAATTAAGCTTGGGTGCACTCACCTTTCTTGAGCATCTCTCTCATACCAAACTCTATGTCAAGTACATCAAGAGAACAGTGTGAAAGTTAGATAGAGTCTCTGCATTCACAAGGTTATGAATTAATGAAACAAGTGTTAATCAGTTTTGTACACTGATGATCATGAAAATAACATGGGAATCACATAACATGCAAAAAAATGGGGAAACCTGTCCTGTCAAAAACTGTGAGGCATTTTGGTGACAAAGATAAGGATAAGCAGTTGCTTGTGGGTTGTTATGGGGTCAGAGTGGGGAGGGTGTGGGTGGCAGAGGAGAGAGAAGAGTCTCTGGCAGTGGAAGGACACTGTGGTAGGTGGGAACCCTGTATGTCTTGGGGAATGGTTGAGGTATTGATGTGTTTGAAGGAAGGTAGAAGGAGCCAAGTCACTAAAACCATCACCTTTATTCAAAGCAGTAAAACATTAAGGGATCTGATATGGCTAGGCTTTTATTATTATTTTAAAAAGTAGTTATGACTGCCAAGTAGAGATGGATGGACAATATGGGGCATGTGTTGAAATGGGGAGACAAAAATAATTTGATTGCCCCCATAAAGCACAAGGACGGCCAACAAGTTTCAGAAAGTTAAGCATTCACTTACTCATGCTCAGGAGTTACTCCTGGTTCTGTACTCAGGAATTACTCCTGGCTGTATTTGGGGGACCATATGGGATGTTGTAAATTGAACCTGGGTCGACCTTGTGCAAGGCAAATGTCCTACCTGCTGTGCTATCACTCCAGCCCCCTTAGGTATATACTTATACCACGCTATGCATCACCAATGTGCCCAAAGTCCCTTTCCCATGCCCCTGTTCCCTCCCATCTGCCTCTTACTACACCCACCCTCACCCCCTTGATTTCTTTCTGTACCTGTCCTCATTTCTGTTAAGAAAATAATCCAGGCCATGCAAGTTCTAAGTGGAAAATTTATTTGATTGCAGTGAAAAAGAAACACTGAATCCTAAGGGCGGATTTTCCCAAGCTGCACTGCTGGCACCCAGCACCCTCATCTGTTCCTGGCATGACAACTGGGCTTTAGAAGAGAGCTGAACTCAGGCAGCAACTTAGAAAGAGGGTCTGGGCTCAAAGGCTCCTGGATTGTGGGGCTTTGGAGGACTCTGTGACTCCTGTGAAATGGTCTTTCTCCCAGGAGTCTGGGATTCATTCTAGAGGCTTCCAGAATAAACAAATACCCAACTAATCTGCTAGTTCTACTGTGATTTATTTCATTTGGGTCTTTTTCTGAATGTTACCATTTTCTCAGTAAAAACGATTACTTGGATGAAGGGAGCTTATTTGCCATGTACTTTAAAACTATTTTAATTGGTATGTCATCCTAATTACGAAACATCTACTGTACTGTCCCAGAGGAGAGGTACAAAGAGGAGAGGTACAAAGGGAAGTTGGGCTTCAAACCAAATCACCTCAAGGCTACCAGGTTGCTAGAGGCTGGCCTGCCCCTCCCGATCTGAAGAGGCTCCTGTGAGCTGGGATAGCCAGGAAAACACTTCCTGCAGTTATGGCTGGGCCTTTCACGAGGTATGGCTAATCAGTACTCAGGAGATGGGGACTTGGGAGTGAAAAGGCACATTTACTACTCTGAAGGAGACTTACAATGATCTTGCTACAAGAGTCAACAGCACTGAACACATGAGCTTCAAATTACAACAAGGTGGCAGCTTGGGGGGTGTGAGGGACCACGGGAACACTGGTGGAGGGAAGTTGACACTGGTTATTGGAGCTAGAACAGTATAGGTCTAAAAGTTAAATATCAATCACTTTGTAAATCAGCAGACTGTAGCACTATCTTTCCGTTGTTCATTGATTTGCTTGAGCAAGCACCAGTAACATCTCACAACAAATTGTGAGACTTGTTGTTACTGTTTTTGGCATATCGAATACGTCATGGGTAGCTTGCCAGGCTTTGCCGTGCAGGCGAGATACTCTTGGTAGCTTGCTGGGCTCTGCGAGAGGAGCAGAGGAATCAACCCGGCTCACCCGCGTGTAAGGCAAACGCCCTACCTGCTGTGCTCCAGCCCATTTCCATTCCATCTAAAATAATTTCTCATTCTCCATCTCGTCCTTTTTTCTTTTCTTTCTTTCTTCCCTTCCTTCCTTCCTTCCTTCCTTCCTTCCTTCCTTCCTTCCTTCTTTCTTTCTTTCTTTCTTTCTTTCTTTCTGTCCATACCAAGCAGTGCTCAGGGGTCACTCCAAGCTCTGCACTCACTTTGTAAATCATGGTTGTTTAAATAATTTTTTACACAAGAACTAAAATGGCCTGGGAATATATCCCAGAGAGGCAAAAATGTATAGTCGAAGTGACATGTGCACTTGTTTGTTCATTGCAGCACTCTTTACAATAGCCAGAAACTGGAAGAAACCTGAATGCCCAAGAACAGATGACTGGTTAAAGAAACTTTGGTACATCTACACAATGGAGTACTATGTAGCTCTTAGAAAAGTAGAAGTCATGAAATTTACATACAAGTGGTACAACATGGAAAGTATCATGCTAAGCGAAATGAGTCAGAAAGAGAGGGATAGACATAGAAAGATTGCATTCATCTGGGGGATATAAAGTAACAAAATATGAGATTAATACACAAGAATAGCTGAGATCAGCACCAGGAGGATTACTCCATAGCTTAGTGGCCAGTCGGGCATTCTAGAGGAAAGGGCAGCTCAGACAGAGAAGGAAACACCAAATAAAGGGTGTTTGGAGGACCCTCCCAGGAGGGGAGATGCATGTCGAAAGTGGACTATGGACTGAACATGTTTGCCACTCAATGCCTCTTTTGCAGACCACAACACCCAAAAGGAGAGAGAGAACACAGGGGATTGCCCTGCCACAGAGGCAGGGGGGGATGAGGGGATGGGGGTGGGGGGGATATTATCCATGGTGGTGGAAAATGGGCACTGGTGGAGGGATGGGTATCTGATCATTGTATAATCAAACCCAAGCACAAAAAATTGTAAATCTACAACTGTACCTCATGGTGTTTCACTAATAAAAAAAAATTTTTAAAAAAAAGAACTAAAATGGAAACGTGGTATCAGATCCTGAAGACCAGCAGGTTTTTATTTATTTATTTTTAAGTATGAGCTGTTTCTTCTCAGTACCAACTGATCAAGTTACAAACTTTTACAATATGGTAGTTCAGATATTGAGAGAATGGCTACTTCAAAATATTTTAAAACTTTGTGAATCAAACAGACAGAACAACACTGACTCTTTTACAACCTTTTATAATTGTAAGTAAGCCGTATTTCCAGGAGAAGTGCGCCAGGAGAAAGAGATTTGAATACAATTATTTTTATTGCCAGCAGGGTCTTGCATTTTTTTTTACACCACCATGAGGGGGACAGAAAGATGGATGAACAACTTTTGGGGCCAGGATGTCTACAGAACTCCCACATCATAATTTTTGGCAGGATTTGTATTTTCATCTTTCTACCTTTATGCAATAGTTTTCACCTTTCTCCAAGTCTATACGCTGGTTGATGAGGCTTTTGTGCAAAGCCTTCCCGTGGTGCACACAGATTGCAGGACCAGGCAGGCTTCAATAGAGATCTCTGTTCACTAGCTAGCACCACATTTTCCCCACCTGTCCAAGAAATCATATTGGGTCTAAAATAAACAAGAATACTGAAAATGTAGAAATGGCTTTCTTTGACATTGCTGTTTTGAAAGTAAATTAATCAAGAAATGGCATTTTGCCATTAGTCATAGCACACTTATGACAATGCACAGATTGTAAGAAAACTTGGATAATAAATGTTTTAAATAATAAAGGAAATAGGGGGCCAGAGTGAAGTATAGTGGGCAGGGTGCTTGGCTTGCATGCAGCCAACTGGGGTTCAATCCATGGAATCCCATGTGGCCCCCTGAGCCCTATCAGGTGTGGTTCCTGTGTTCAGGGCCTAGAGGAGTAACCCCTGAACATTGTCGGGTGTGGCCCCAAAACAACAACAAAACAACAACAACTTTTTAAAAAAAATAATAAATGAAATAAGATCTATTTCCAGGCTTCTCACATAGATCACAGTCCTCTGCCTTAGATATTTACTGTTCAAGAATGGTTAGCTGGGTTGAGTACCCTAGATTATGCATTTTCTTTTAAAGTATCAACTACAAAGTTCCCAAGTTTGGCATTAGAAAATTTTGAACTCTTAAGATAGAATAAAATAGTCCATCTTCACCAGAACAGCCAGCAAACATACTCTTACCCACAGGCAGAAGGGAGCCCCCATTTGGACTGGTGTGTGGATGGTGCTTTGTCAAGTCCTTCCCAGAAGCAAGATACATGTCTAAGAAAAAATTCCTCTGTGATCCATGTTCTCTGCTCTGAGAACGTACCTTTTCCTTCTATCTCCTAGTTTCAGACGGTCTGCTTCATTTCCACTGCATTAGAAGATGAAAATTCAAGAGGTGGGAATAGAAATCAACTTCAAGGGAGAAAGAGGTGACTAGCAATCTGATACAGAATGCCTCCTGGGGGAAAAGGAATCCAGATCTCAAAGGCAGACTTTCAAAAAGGGAGCAGAACCAAGTCTATTTTTTCCCTAGGTCACCATTGGGAACCAATCTAACCTATTTACATGTGATCTCAGGGGACATAGCTTTAAATAGGTATCTTGTCACTATCCTTCTCCTCATCTTCCATGATCACTTTGGGTCTCTCATCCCGGAGCAGTGTCACACCTGAAAAACAAAGCACAAACCTGAAATTAGATACCTCTAATGAAAATATCAGACAAATCTGACAACATAGACACAGAGTGAAGGAGCTGGCTGCCCAGGAGTCATGCAGTGTCTGCAAAGCTAACTATGAAGGTGCCAACGAAGACAGAGGGTTCTGAGTGGTCTTATCTGATCTTCCCAGTGGGTACAGTGTCTCAATGAGGACATTGCTCTGATTCTAAGGTGGTAAGGGACACCTAAACTCAGTCTTGTTTATAATCTGCTTCAAAACTTGAAGTAAAGGAGGATGGAAAGCAGAGTGGGGTCCAAGTGCTCTGCATTTCAGCTGATCACTCACTTAATCTGCGTTCAGTTAGCACAATCAGACCTCAGAATCTCAATGTATTATGAGGCACCAATGACTAAATAAAAGGTTATATAGAAATAATAGAAAGCTTATATCAGAGGAACACCAGGGATCAACTAAGTCAGGTTTTCCTAGTTCTTAATGTCAGTAGGGGCCGAAGTGATAGTACAGTGGTAAGGCATTTTGCCTTGTGCACGGCTGACCTGGCTTTGACCCCTGACTCCCCATATGGTCCCTTCAAGCCTGCCAGGAGTGATCCCTGAGTGCAGAGCCAGGAAGAATTTCTTCACACCTCCAGGTGTGGCCACCCACCAATACAAAACAGAACAAAAGTGTCAGAAGCTTACAGAGTTCACAGCACATAAGAAAGCAAGAATATGGGAATGAGTCTTTTAATAAAAAGACAAAGGAACCATGATTCAAGACTAGACCTTTTGACTTTTGTCATCACACTCCAGCCAACACTGCCCATCTTTACTGCTTTCACCATCCTGCCCTCCATCCCCTAGGTTGAGGTCTGTCCATTTGGGAAGCATTTCATAAAGATCTGAACTTGAGGGAGGAAAGTTATGCTCCACTGGAGGCCTTTCTCTGGCACTGGACTCCACTCAACAGTGGCAAATTAATGAAAACTATGTGAAGAATGTAATTACTATTCATTTGATTCAGTTCCTAGTTTGTTCATATGGGTTCTTTACCAATTAGCTGATATTTATTGGAGGAGAAAAACAATTTCAAGAGTTTGGCTGAAACTAAGGCTTTTGCATAAATCGCTTATGAAACACAGTGGGAGGGAGATGTTTTCTCCCAGTTGTGTAGAGGTTTGGATTTTTAGTTGAAATTAAGGCTGTCTTGGCAGGAGAACAGACTTAGCTATGCTGATTCCCCTAAACTTGCTCTCTTACCTACCTTGATATTTTTTCATATGAAGCCAAGTTTTAGTTTATTTAAGTGGGTCAGAAACTTTCAACTCCAACATACAAGTCAACTTCTGGTTATTTTGCATAGCCTTGAAACCGGGTCCTATATGCATGTATACTGCCCCAAATCACCTCTACTTCTGCTCATCTCTCTCTCTCTCTCTCTCTCTTTCTTTCTCTCTCTTCCCCCATCTTTATTTTTCTATTTCACACACACATGGGATTTTATGGAAGAGAAGAGTCTAGTTATTAAAATCAAAGTCAGTCCTTCCCAAAGTTGACTCGATTTCCCACAGGAATAGAAGTAATGTTTTCAGGTGCCAAAGTGGACAAGTATTTTGTATTAATATAGTTAATCATTCATTTTAATGTCTTATATAAAAATACATGTGATACCTCATCAATGTCTTATTTCATGGTTATCATTTTTAGAATGCTGCTTAACTCAGTGACATCTGTTTGTCATCACTGAAATCTTGCTCTTGGTGTTTCATATCATTAGCTTGGTAATTTGAAGATGGCACAATTTGACAAACAGTTGTCTGTCTAGTTTAGTCTTCATGTTCTCTTCTGGGAAGTAGAAGTATGTCATTGAAATAATATAGACTTGAAAACATTTGTATTTTTAAATATTTGTGTTTGATGCTCAGAGAACTTTGAGTAGGTCACTTGACCTACTTGAGTCTCAGTCCATCTGTTAAAATTTATCTGTAAATTTGGAGAAAAATAATTTGTCTCTTCTACAGGGGACAATGCAATCTATTTCAATCAATATCCTAAATGGCTTCCATCACACCTGACAAGCATCTCTATTCTAAAGCACATTGTGGAGATCATTGGGTAATTCTCACTGTGAAATTCTCCAAACAAACACCATCCTCCCATTGTTCATAGATTTGCTCGAGTGGGCCCAGTAACATCTCCATTTTGAGACTTGTTACTGTGTTTGGCATATCGAATACATCACAGGTAGCTTGCCAGGCTTTGCCGTGCAGGCAAGATACTCTCGGTAGCTTGCCGGGCTCTCTGAGAGGAGCGGAGGAATCTAACCCGGCTGAGCCGAGCCGGCTGTGTGCAAGGCAAATGCTCTACCACTGTGCTATCGCTCTGAAATTCTCCGAGGATGTTCTAATATTTATCACAATACTATTGCATCAATTCTATTTATTCCATTTCATACAGGATAGTTTAGGAAACTTGACTGCCTGTCAGAGATTGGCATGCTTTTAAAGCTAAAGCTGATATCAAGGTCTCTGGAAGTCAATAAACCTTGTAGTCAGCTCTCTTAGGCCATGTTAGCACCCAGAGCAGGAAGCAAGACTTGTTTTTCTACAAAATATCACTTTCAAAGGACAGATGGGTCTCTTTCTGCAAATCCAAGCACAGTACTGGGCTTTGATCCCTAGTTCATGGGACAGTATTCCAGCCAGCGTCTTTTCAGTTCTTCCAGCACCATTTTCTTTGCTTTCCCAGGTTCCTTTTGCCATAAACTTCAAAGATTCTTCTCTCTTAAGCTGGCTTCTGATGCCCATATAAAGCCATCTCAACCCTCTGTTCCTTTCCATGCAGTAATTGTCAGGCACAATTGGACAAGTGTGGGCCAAGTTGGGAGTAGAGCTTGGTCAGGCAAGAAAACCTGACATAGGTCCTCATGGAGGATCGTCTGGCCATTGAAACCTGTCAAACCAGCTCATTAACCTAAGGGAGTCAAAGTAGTTAGCAAAAGATTAGAAGGAACGAATACTTGTCCAGTGCACACTTGCCAAGGGCTAATGAGAGAAATTGTCTCTGGAGTGTCTGTGAGTTGTGTGTGAGTTGTTCTCAACACCCTTGTTAGAAGCGAAGTGATTGTTTCTAAACATCTGCTAAAGAATCTATCCTTATCAGCTTAACTAGCATTTTGATTACTGCCAAATCTTTAGACACTAAAAGGCTCTTCAAAAATAAAGTGTTTCAGCTAATATGCTAATAAAGTGGAATTACAGAACACCATCTAGAACTGAAAAAACTTGCAGCAGGAACTTGCTGAGTCAAGAAATTCTATAATATGTAGAGACTATGACATCCAACTCCTCCCATCAGTTTTGTGTACTTTGTACTAATTGATAAACATTTTTTTATTATCCTAGAAGGTTACTCTCTTTTGATGTAGAGATGAATGTATAGATTAAGCCCTCATTGCCAGGTAACGTTCAACTTTTTAGGAGCGTCCTTGCATAAGCAAGTTTATATGGAGTGGTAAATTACCTTTAGCTCTTACCCTTAAAAATTGAGTTGGGGAAGAGAATTTAAGATTGAACCAAGCATGGTGGGAAAAGAAACTATTGAGGATTTCAATGAGACAGAAACTGTTAAGTGTTCTGTGTACTTGTGTGAACAACCTGCCACACAGATTTTATCATCTTTCTTTCAGATATGGGTGTGACAAATGAGGCTTCTGTTGTTTGTGTTAGCTGCCCAGGGTTAGCTACACAATTCTGACTGCCAAAAGAAAATCAAATCAAGCTGCTTACTGAGCACTTCTATGTATGAGGGACTGGATTGGACACCAAGTTCAATGCCAGAATGATAGGCCAGTTCTCATAAATTTATCTGACAATAACAGTCACAAAAACAGCAACAAGAACAGTAAGACCAACAGAGATGACAACATTTTGGTGCTTCCATGACAATGACTAGTGCAGAATTAATTTAGAATAGAAAGGAGTTATTTTGAACGTGGATGAATCTGTTAGCAGAGACGAAATGGCGGCGTCTTTGGAATGAAATCTGGTCAGAGGGTGAGAAATGTGTGTGGGCTAGATATATGGGTGTAAGTAGGAATTACTGTAGCTTCAAAGCTCACAGAGGCAGATCCAGACCCTCTCAAATTGGTCCTTTGGTCCATTTCTCCAGAGAATACCTCTGAGCCTATGCTTTGCCTATCTCTGCTTCTTGATAAGCAGTGGACCTGTGTGTAACCCTGTGTGTTTTTATTTTCACTTTTACTGGGGGGTGGGGAGGCAACTGGCATACTCAGGGCTTACTCCTGGCTCTGTGCTCAGGGATAACTTTGAGCAGTGATTGGGAGACCATATGTGGTGCTGAGGATTGAATTGATCTCAGCCTCATGCAAGGCAGGATCTTAATTGCTGTACCATAATCCAAGATCTTAATTGCCTTTTTATGATGTTTCTTCCGAGACTCATTTTTCCTTCACTAAAAGGAACAATGGGGCCATATAGGGTATAGGTGATAAGGCACTTTTGGCTTGCATGTGACTGCTGAAGGCTTGACCCTGATTCAAATCCCTACATCAAATATGATTCTTGGAGCACTGCCAGGGACCATCCCTGAGCACAGAGTCAGAAATCTCCCCTGAGTATTGCTGGATATGATCCTAAAATCAAAACGAATAAAGTAAATAAAAGGGACAACCAGGAAAAACATGATTTATAGTAACAACCTAATCTTATCTTTTCTCAAAAGTACTCTTAGGGGCTGGAGTGATAGCACAGTGGTAGGGCAGTTACCTTGCACGCGGCCCACATGGCCAACCTGAGTTCGATTCCTCTGCCCCTCTTGGAGAGCCTGGCAAGCTACCAAGAGTATCTCGCCCACATGGCAAAGCCTGGCAAGCTAGCCGTGACGTATTCAGTATGCCAACTCAGTAACAACAAGTCTCACGATGGAGACGTTACTGGGTCCGCTTGAGCAAGTCGATGAACAATGGGAGGATACAGGGCTACATATAGGTGGATATATGAACCATAACATATTATAGTGAAAAATTCCCCTGGGTGAGCCTGGGTTTGAGCCCCAGTTCTTCCCTGTAATAGTGTTTTATCTTGAGCATAATTTTATCCACTCCATCTATCCATCTACTGAATTATTCCATCCTCAATCTTACTATCAGTCTGAAAATTATTCATCAGTTTCATTCACTTTCATGATCTTTGAAATGAAATGAACACATTCATTTCATGATCTTTGAATTACTGAGTAAGCTATTTCAATTCTTTCTCAGTTCTTTACCTGTAAAAGGAAATGATAATCACTTTACTTTGCCATTCAATTGGTAAATAAAAGACATTCAAAATTCAGTACCTAACATATAGTAGGGTCTCAGTAAACAATTTATTTTCTCGTTCTGAAATCCCACTGCAATGCCTAAATACACACACAAATAGGTGCACATACTACTTATTCTTATAGAATTTCTAGTCATGAATGCACACATTTTATTCCCCAGATTACAAAAATTTCTCTAAGATAAGAAATATGCCTTCCACATCGCCTGACTTATAGCCTGGGGTCATAAATGTAGTTCAGCAACTATTTGGAGTGGGTTTTACATGACAAATATTAAGATATTTATTCCTTTTTTCCATCTCTCTTTTGTACATTCACTTAGGCCTTTCTACCACTTCTCTTAATCTCTTATTTTGAGGATTTTAGTCACTATGTACACATAACTTGGGAGAATCGATCACTAGAGATAGGATGCATGATCCATGAAGATGAGAAGGAGGGTATTTCACTCTTCTCAGGAATCCACTGACATTTCTGTTTCATAGGCTCAGTGAATTTGACCAGTTCTGCTGAAAAAAAATGAGTGATGTGCTAACTCTCCTAAATTTCCAAGTCTGCCCCTGAGAAGTTGCTAGTGAAGATAAACATGAAAGGAAGCAAAATATTATGCTCCTCCCCCGGAGGATTTCTGTGCAATGCAGATTGTGAGTGTGGGGAGGGTGGGGGACAAGGCCCATGCCTGTATACCTCCAGATGTCAAAGTTCATGTGCTGATCCCATCACCCTTACAGATTCCCTGCACCAGCTCTTTTACCTCCTACAAAGGGGGACACGTGCAGAGCAGGTGTGTCTTTTCTCCTTGGTTTTTTCTGTTCCAGGTCAGTGTTATGAAGAGCAGGATTCTTATCCTTTGGGTACCTCTCTTGAACATCATATCTTCGAATTAACTGTTCCGAAAACACACCTGCATGGTTAAGGGAAAAGAGGGGGAGAGATAGGGTCAAATACTATAACTTTTTCCTTGAGACTGAACACCACATTTGCACAATTATTTGAGTGCCTGAGTTAATGTATATTTTCGAACTTTCAAATTTATCATCATGGCGGGGGAGGATTTGGCCACTCGGTCGACATGACCTGGGAGAATCAGCCACTAGAGAGAGAACGCATGGTCCATGAAGACGAAGTGGAGGGTATTTCATTCTTTGCAAGGACCTACTGACATTTCTGTTTCATTTTGCTCACTGAATTTGACCAGTTCGGATATAAAATGAGTAAGATGCTAACCTTCCTGAAGACTAGACCAAGCCATGTGCAGGAGGTGTAAGGGCCCCTCCTGGCAGTTCCCGCCAATCAACCAAGCTGGCATAACAGTATGGCATGCTTCTTAGACCCTTTGAGGGTTCAGATTACCTGGGCCACTCTGGCAGTGTTTTCAGGGATGTACCAGGCAAAGCTCAGGGGACTATATGGTGATGGGGATTAAAGCAGGGTCTGCCATATGCAAGGGCCATGTTTTAGCCCCTGTACTATTCTCTCCAGCCTCTTGCAATTCTTTTTTGCTTTTTGGGTCACACCCGGCGATGCTCAAGGTTTACTCCTGGCTCATGCACTCAGGAATTACTCCTTGCAGTGCTTGGGGGACCATATGGGATGCTGGGAATCAAATCCGTGTCGGCCATGTTGGCTGCGTGCAAGGCAAACGCCCTACCCGCTGTGCTATCGCTCCAGCCCACTCTTGCAATTATTTTTACAATATATTTCTTTCCAGTAAGATCTAGAATCAGGGGGTCACATGAATCGATATCTTATATGCAAAGGTTCTTATCTTTTAATTTTTATTTTTTAAATTTTTTTAGTCATATCCTATGATGCCCAGGGTTTACTCCTGGCTCTGCACTCAGGAATCATTTCTGGTGGTTGTGCTCGGGGATACTGGAGATAAAATTCAGGTTGGCTGCATGCAAGGCAAATGCACTGCCTGCTGTACTATCACTCTGGCCTGGTTCTTACTTTAGCTTCATAAAACCTGTAGTATTGTAGCACTGTCCTCCTGTTCATCAATTTGCTTGAGCGGGCGCCAGTAACGTCTCCATTGTGAGACTTGTTGTTACTGTTTTTGGCATACCGCATATGCCATGGAGAGCTTGCCAGGCTCTGCCATGTGGGTGGGATATTCTCAAGTAGCTTGCTGGGCTCTTCAAGAGAGACGGAGATATCGAACCTGGGTCCACTGCGGGCAAGGCAAACGCCCTAGCTTCTGTGCTATCACTCCAGTCCTTCATAAAACCTAATAAGAAATTTATTATTGCTACTATTAGCACACATTTGAGGAAACTGAGCAAATGAATTATATCCAAGATAACACAGCTCATAGCGTCAGAGGCAGGAATCCTGTCTGGGCTTGTCGATAATCCAAGTCTATCCTATTCAGAGAGATGGGCCACTTCCTCCTCCAACAACCACATGTGACAGCATTCCTACACCTGAAACTTTTCTCCATTTTTTATGAACTCCCCAAAGAGCCACCTCTGAGAATCCTCCTATAACTTCTCACCCACACTGGATTCCTGGTGTCCTATCTAAAGACTTTCATGATAATATTACTTCATATTTCAGCTCTCTTTAATAAAAAAAAGTTCCATTTCTACAATATACTGCAAGTGATAAGTGAATAATAGACAAAACTAAATTAGTGGCCAGGAGGGAAAGGGAGAAGGAAACCAGTCAAAAGTTTTGTAGTCAGAGAGTAGCACATGTCACGCCCAAGGTTGTTACAGACACATCAGCTGTTCACCAAACTATTTTTGCTTTTCTCCTGGGTCTGCATACGTCCTAATTTTCGAGCCGCCATTGAAATTAGGTGAAACCAATTAGAATGAAGAAGTTTTGTGTGCTACTTCCAGGGCTGTGCATCTTTCCTTCTAGACTCTCCTATCCCTACACCCATGCCAACTAGATACTGATAGACATGGTGACTTTAGAATCCATCAGTCCAGGGCACTGAATTAAGGATCAGAATTTCCCTTCTCATCTCTCCCATTAGAACTTTCACTTTTTATTTTTGTTTGCTGTGGGGCCACACCTGGCTGTGGTCAGGCCTTTGGCTCTGTGATCAGTTATGATTCCTGGTGGGGTAGGGGACCATATAAGGTACAAGGGATCAAATCTAGGTTTGATGCATGCAATGCAAACGTCCTACCTGCTGTACTATTTCTCCAACCTGTAGAGCCCCCAGTTTTAATGAGTGAAACATGAACTTGTGTTTTGCCACTAATACTTTGGAATTTATCTGTTACAGATGATGGCTATACTGTAGCTAAGCCAGATGTAGGGAGAACATCAATTATTTAAATATCCATAGTTGTAAGGAAAAATCTGTTTAAAATATGCTATCTAGTACAGTAGATTTCAACTATGGTTCCCAGAAATTTTTGGTCCACAGTAGAATAAGGTTAAAGATCATGGACTTAATGGCAAGCACTTTTCCTTAATAGCTATGCAAATGACCTCATTATCCCTTACCTGGTATAAAAGGTGGGATATGTAGTGCTGGTGTATCTTTTCTTCTTGGTTTTTTCTTATCTGATTCAACATTCAGGGTGACTTGCCCATTTTTTCCCTTTCTTGTCTTAAGATCACAGTCCTTAATGAACTGGTCCGAAAGGTCATCTGATTTTGCAAGATGCAAAGAAAAAGAGAATGTAACACAAATAAGAATCCCATAACAAACATGGTACCCAATCATACCTCCTCATTGGAATAGAAACAACTGGTATGAAAAAAATAGGTTTTATTTCACCTCTTCTACAGTGAAATTCAGTAGCTTTTTATAAGTACATATGTATATATCTACATGCATATTATCATAGAAGACTAGAATTTTATAAAATTTCAAATGAATATAACTCAAGGAAGATGAATATACAAGTGAAAGAGGTACTTTGAAATATAGTTAGGTTGGCCACACAATTGTGTTAAGTTTCTGATTGGGGGGTCTAGGCTTTCTTTGTAAAATGGTCCTTCTTAATTTTCTTTGCATAAGACATGCTCTCTTTAGGCCCCAGAACAATGTAGAGCCTCATTTTATCTTTGATATTGTGCTAAGGTTCTCAGATAACACCTACCCTGACTTTATTTCAATTGCTAGTGAGATCACACTGATTATTTGTACTTGGACTTTAACTTTGATCTTTTCATAGCCCCTTAAGTTTGCAGTTATTTTTCCACCTTATCCCAATGTCCTTTGTCCTCTTATTTATCTCAATGATTTCATTAGTACTCTATCCCCTCAGCAGAGCTTTTTCTTTCATATCTATCAGATTTTATTTAATGAACCCATCTGGTCTTCCCTTACCCATAAAAGCAGTTTTTTTGATTCATCTTATTCTTTTATGCTTTTGTTTACATTGCTTTCCTTTGAACTAGCACTTGTTTGTTCTATAATGATAATATCTTCTTATAGAATAAAGATTATATTTTGGCATTAAATATTAATATGCTTTTTCCTCTGATAAAAGCCTGTTAAGCCAAATTTGACTGATATCATATCTTGACCCTTGTTTTGTTAACTTGAACTTTTAGTTCTAGAAATTTCATTGCTTTCTGGATTTTCAAAGTGGAAATAATATTAGATCAATGTGAGTAGGGTGAGAGAGAATTAAATTTGTGAATATTAGCAAAGCATGATATGATACATTTCAGATGTAAAACAAATGTTCACTCTGGCCATTGTTGATTCCTTTAGGTCCACAAGGAACCCCCCCCTCCCTTCTTTACAAATATTTTCATACTAACCCCAATACTGAGTACCGTTCTCACTTTTTGAACATCTATAGCATTTTTTTCATACTGAGAGTATCTCGCCCGCACGGCAGAGCCTGGCAAGCCACCCGTGATGTATTCGATATGCCAAACGCAGTAACAACAAAGTCTCCAATGGAGACGTTACTGGGCCCGCTCGAGCAAATCGACGAACAACGGGAGGGCCTTTACCTCGAGCTCGAGCAACGTATATAACATATATATTAAATATAACTTATATTAATATATAGATATAACTTGAGCTAGATTCTGGAATAAAATAATATTATTTCCGGGTTCTTATTATAGTTTATTGGGTTTTGGATCTATATATTCCTTTGCTTCAGAAAATCCAGTATTGGAAATATTTAGTAAGAACATATTACTAAATATCACAAAATATAAAATTCCCCCAAATTAAGTAGTATTATTCTCTTAAGTCATTCTATATATAATTAATAAACATTTGCTATTGTTGTTGGAAACAGATATTTAATTTCACGTAAGAATCCTTAAATAGTTCTATTCTGTTTAGTATAATCAACATTTATGAAATTATAGTATGTGTAAAATATTAAATATAGGCTTTAAGCTTATAGATGCAAAAATAATTCTGAGGGAGGATTTTATTGGCTCTCCCTTTTACATTAAATGAATTCACGTCATTCTAGTGAATGGATGGACAATGTTTTTTTCCTGATCTGTCAAAGGCTATGCCTTGTCAGTTGTTAATTATTGATATTAACTTGAACACATCATCCCATTTAGGTTTCATACTAAGTCCACTCCTAGGGAAGATAGAAGTCCTCATCTAGGGAAGATGAGGAAACTGAGATGTAGAAGGCCAGATAAAATGATACACTTCTGAAAGATTATGGGATCACAATTAAACCCAGTATCTTGGGACTGTATATCTCAGGAATTAGTTGAAAAGGCAATCACAAGGCTTTGTTTGCTAATTTCCCTCTAGAGTAAACATTCCATAAACATTTCTTCAATGAATGCTGTTTTGAATAGATATGCGCCAGCCGTGGGGTCTCAGGAAACATGGACCTGATTGCAACCCTAAGAGGTAATGCACATATAAGTGCAAGACATTTAACTTTAAATTTGACTTTGACTTCAAGCTGTACTTTCGCCCAATTTTGGAGAAATCCCAAACATAAAATATCTTGATGGCAAATGGAGAGAGATGAGGGGGGTAGACATAACCAGGCGAGACACAAACAAAGACTATGAATATGCAAAAGACCCATCCATCAAAAGTCTGAGTGTCTCATTTTTAGAAATGGGTAGAGGCGGAAATGTTTCTGGTATTTTCATTACAAAGGTTATGCAAAAAGTCAGTTCAGGAAAGGAAACAGATTGACAATGAAGCAGAAAAAGGCTATTTAAAATTCTGTCTTGATAGGCAAAGAGAGATATTTGAAATATTTTATTGGCACTGCATGTGGGGCTATGAGTATGTTGGAAATGCTGGAAATAAGTTCTATAGCCACATTTTATTTATTGCCTTAAAAACATTTTGCCTGGGACTCTGTCGGACTCCAAAGAGAGGGCAATGTCTTTTACCTCTTTTTCAAAACTTAAATGAACATCTCTTCCATGTGTTGGCTAATAGACCCCATATCCTTGGCTGTTTGCCTGTGTCTCTGGTTTTAGGTGTCAGCAGAAGACACAGATTATGAGATTTCAAAGCCCTTCCCTCTGACTTGCCTTAAAATTAAATGGCAGTGTACATTTCCTATCACCAAATCAAATGAAATTCAGTTTGTTCTGTTGTAAAGAAACAAACTAAGGCCTGGAGAGATAATGCAACAGTTAGTGTTTGTGTTGCACAAGGCAGACCAGGGTTTGATCTCTGGGATCTCATGTGGTCCCTTGAACACCACTAAGAGCGATTTCTGAGTGCAAAGCCTGGAGTAACCCATGAGCATTGCCAGGTGTGAAACCAACCAAACAAACAAAAAAATTCTTTGAGCTAAATGTACACTGGTGATGGGACAGGTGTTGAAACATTGTATGACCAAAACCCAATCATAAATAACTTTGCAAGTGTGTATCTCATGGTTATTCAAATAAAAAAAAAAAACTAAATGACAGCAGACACCCCCTTTCTTCACCGCCACCCTCAGGCTTTAACATTCAGTTTGCAGTGTTTACCTAAGTGGCTACAACGTGGGTCGAGCTGGTCCAGCCTGTCTTCTGAGAGCTCTAATGGCTCCATTTTCTCAGTGGACATCACCAAGAGATGATTTCTTCCCCAGCACTATAGAGGTACAAGAAGGAAATCCATTGGGATGCTTTCATTTCAGTCATTTACTTGTTCGGTAAGTCCTAAATTATCAAACACTTACTTTCATGGTCCCACTTCAATTCTGTTCTGCCTCTCTCTTAAAACTTATTTAGTGACTCAAGATTACAACCAAATTAGAAGACGCTTATGTATGCACAGACACAGATTGATGTCCACAAACGCATGCATGCACACACATGGATTTATCAGGATTCATCACATTCTCTCTCAGAGGCACTTGAAGTTTGGAAACTTATTTGTTAAGTGTGAATTTGAAACAAGTTAACTGAGAGTCACAGAAAATCTTGAATAAACTTGGCTTATTTGGGATCCTACAAAGACCAACTATGCCCCACTATGGATCCTCCAGAGTCCCGCTATGGTTACAGATCAAGAAAATGAGGCTCCAAAACGAAATTGATTTTTTTAGCCACATAATAAAGAACCAAGACTGAATGTAAATACAGTTTTGTAGACTTTCATTGTACGCCCAAGTCCCTTAAAAATAAAGAGAATTCTTTGTGTTAAATTGGACCAGGCTTTTAGTTTTCCCAGAAAGGAACCCTGTGAATTAACTAAAAAGGAATGTGGTTCCTTCCTGGTCATATTACAGTGATAAGATATGATAGCAAAGATTCTAGTCCTTAAAATTGATCTTATTTTTATCCTACATATCCTGATGTTAGAGCTACTTCTAATCCCTAGCTACCCCTCTCAACTCCTATATTTCCAAGACCACAAACTCAGTAAATCTTCCTGAGCTATTATTAGTTGTAGCGATTTTCCAGGAGGAATAGAAATTCAGAATAGACATATGTCAGGTCTGAAAGAGAAGTACATTAGTTTAAGATTTATAGAAAATATTCATTAGAATATTCCTAGATTCTGGTTCTTGAGTTTCTTTCAGATAATTTGTTACTCATGCCCTTTCACAGCACAAACGGATAGAGAGAAATAAGATTGAAATGATCCTCTTATTCTCTTGAGAGTCCTGGATCACTCAAAGCAAATGAACTCACAGACCAGTTGTATTAACATTTTAAACTCATAGCTGGTAGTCTTCTGAGGAATGAGCCAGTTTCTTTGGGAAGGCTGGAGGGCTTCTCCCCCTCCATGCTGAGATCATAGCATAGCAGATGGGGCCATTAATGGATTACTTGAGCCCAGCTCTTAGTGTCACTCTGAGGAAACTGATTGTGCTGAGTGACTTCAGCAAAAATCAATTCAGACCATTGTTCTTAGTGTTTGTATAGCAACTGGAAATTCCCTGGGATCATAAGGAAGCCCTACCTGCTTGAGTAGGGAGGGAGCCTAAGAGACTGACAGTTGGGAAGTGTGTGTTCAGGCCTGAGGTCTAACAGCAAGAATACAACCTCAAATATGCTATAAAACCAAATTTTTGCTTTTGAGTCAAAGACTTGTGTTGAAAATCACACAGCAAAGAACCTTCCAAATATTTACTCAGATATTCATGTGGGTTCGAAGAGGTTAGCACAAAATTTGTAAGTCTACAACTGTACCTCATGGTGTCTCACTAATAAAAATAAAAAAATTCACCCTTGGTTACACACCCAGAGTCAGAATGATTGTTTGGACTCATGTCCTCCACCTTGTACTGTAGGTCTGATGTGCCAACAGCAACTGTATCTTATCTACCTAAATGGGCAATTTCCTCTATTTGGATTTCTTGACTGCTCCTATGTGTTTAACAGCTGGCTATTTAATTTGAACTTGGGTTCTCCCATCAAATAGGTCTAGATTAAATCTTACCTCATAAAAAAGTCAGATAACTTTGGTGAAGAACTTTAATCTTAGAGGTAATGGAGTCCAAGAGTTTGGTAATTGCGTTGCCCTTTCTCCCTACAAATTATGGTTCCTTTTATGGAGTTTACGAAAGTGGGAATTTTTGTAGTATACTTATAGACTTGCTCCTAGGAAGGTATGTCCTGCTCCCTCCCCACATTATTGCCCTCAGTTTCTTTTCTGTGAAGTAGAGATAATAGTATTAATGTCACAGAGTAACTTTGAGGATTAAATTGAGCATCTCCACCCTCTCCTCTCTGGAAAGAAGATGGCGGCCACATGGGTGCCTTGTGGAGAGCAGGTGTGAGCTGGGGGTGTGGGGGTGACAAAAACCTCATGGGAAGGGGGGCGTTCCGGTCCGTCCTTCACACCATACCGAGGTCACCAGTTGCCCCCCATGAGCGGCTCTCCAGCACGGCCACGGCCCCAGAAGCACAAGGACTTAATGCAGAACCCAGCAGCTTGGAGCAAAAAAGTGAACAAAGTGAATGGACTATGCGTTAATCCAGGCCATCATGTCTGCCCGGAGGGGAAAGGGTGTTGCCCCATTTGCCCTCTCCTCTCTGGAAAGAAGATGGCGGCCACATGGGCGCCTTGTGGAGAGCAGGTTTGAGTCGGGGGTGCGGGGGTGACAAAAACCTCATAGGAAGGGGGGCGTTCCGGTCCGTCCTTCACGCCCTACTGAGGTCACCAGTTGCCCCCCAAAAGCAGCTCTCCAGCAGAGCCACGGCCCCAGAAGCACAAGGACTTAATGCAGAACCCAGCAGCTTGGAGCAGAAAAGTGAACGGACTATGTGTTAATCCAGGCCATCATGTCTGCCTGGAGGGGAAAGGCTGTTGCTCCCTTCCGCCCTCTCCTCTCTGGAAAGAAAGATGGTGGCTGCATGGGAGCCTTGTGGACAGCAGGTATGAGCCGGGGGTGTGGGGGCAACAAAAACCTCATGGGAAGGGGGGCGTTCCGGTCTGTCCTTCATGCCCTACCGAGGTCACCAGTTGCCCCCCCCATGAGCGGCTCTCCAGCACGGCCACGGCCCCAGAAGCACAAGGACTTAATGCAGAACCCAGCAGCTTGGAGCAGAAAAGTGAACGGACTATGCGTTAATCCAGGCCATCATGTCTGCCTGGAGGGGAAAGGGTGTTGGTCCCTTCCACCCTCCTCCCTCTGGAAAGAAAGATGGCAGCCACATGGGAGCCTTGTGGAGAGCAGGTATGAGCCAGGGGTACGGGGGCAACAAAAACTTCATGGGAAGGGGGGCGTTCCGGTCCGTCCTTCACGCCCTACCGAGGCCGCCAGTTGCCCCCCACGAGTGGCTCTCCAGCACGGCCATGGCCCCAGAAGCACAAGGACTTAATGCAGAACTCAGCAGCTTGGAGCGGATAAGTGAACAAAGTGAACGGACTATGCGTTAATCCAGGCCATCATGTCTGCCTGGAGGGGAAAGGGTGTTGCCCCATTCGCCCTCTCCTCTCTGGAAAGAAGATGGCGGCCACATGGGTGCCTTTTGGAGAGCAGGTGTGAGCCGGGGGTGTGGGGGCAACTAAAACCTCATGGGAAGGGGGGCGCTCCAGTCTGTCCTTCACGCCCTACCGAGGTCGCCAGTTGCCCCCCACGAGCGGCTCTCCAGCACGGCCACGACTCCAGAACACAGAAACAAATCTCTTAATTATCTGACTCTCAGTAGAAATACTTCCAGGGTTAATTAGCAAAATAGCGGAAATCCAAAACCAACATTTAATTCTTGAACCCAGCTGTAGAAAGCGAATCACTTCACAATGCTTTCTCAGCATGTCTGATTTGGAGGAAGGGGGTAAACTCTAAATAATAGTGGTGCATCTTTTATTGAAAAAATGAATCTAATCAAAGCAGATAGAGTGTCAACTAGAATTCATCTGCCTCGCAGGCATTGGGAGGGGTGGGGGGTGGGGTTTTATTGGGGTTCTTCGTGGTAAAAAATAAGTATTGGTAAAGGGAAAGGTGTTTGATATTTGCATGACTGAGACCTAAACCTGAAAGCTTTGTAACTTTTCCCACAGCGATTCAATAAATAAATAAATTATTTAAAAATATGCCATTAATAAATTGTATATATATATATGTGTGTGTGTGTGTATAAAAAAATTGAGCATCTCTAGGATTTTTACACTGTAAATATTGAGTCAGGAGAAGCTACTGTCACGCATCAGTCTATATGAGAGTTTTTCAACCTTTTTCCAATTGTTGTCTCCTTCAGAACTTGTTTCCTTCCTGTGAGTCACCTCCTCCCATGCCCCATCTAATTGGTTAACCTCCCACTTTTGTATCATGGGCATCATGGAACAACCTGGGAGTTAACTGGGACCCATAAGGCCCTGGATTGAGAATCACTATTTTATATCACAATAGGTAACTGGCTAATGAAAACCTGTTTAACAGGGAAACTCTAAAAAATCATCAAATCTTACCTAGAAGCTGAATTATAGAAGGACTCAGTTGAGCAAAATGGCTTTCACAATACAGTTCCTAAAAGATAGTAATCTGCCCTTGAGAGCTGAATTATGCAAGTGATCAAGGCCCATGAATGAGGTGAGGGTTAGCTAGTAGTTACTAACAAAAATGGATATGTGCTTCCTCCTCCAGGATCATGCCATCTGTGGAATAACAGCACTATTTTAAATCAGGGTGATGATAGGAATGGTGGCAGTAAATATGTAATTTATGTTTTCTAGGAATCTGAAAGATGATTTTAGATTTTGGATTTCACAAAAACCCCAGAATTCAGACTTGGTTATAGGAGTACCCTGTGTTAGGGAAAACGTTTGAGCTTCGTGAGTAAAGGAACAAGTCTGATTAATTCTAAACTAAGAACCAGAACATTTTTATGTCCCATTCCTGATTCTGGCCCTGCAGAACTCTCTTTAACTCGGTCTCTCCCAGAGCATCAGGCACCATGAAGGGAACACGGCCCTTCTTACTACTCTCCTCACTGCCCTCAGCAGCTGGCTATCATTCAGAAACATCCTGAAGCATCAGCTCTTTCACACCTAAATATTGTCCCTAGGTTTTTGAATTCCAACCAGAAAACTAAGACAATAAGGGATGCTTTGGAAGTATTTCATAAAATCTTCTCTAGGAAAAAAGTGTGTGATCTTTCACATTTTCTTGTCACCAAAGGTAAATCAAATCTTTGAGTTATAGCAGAAACCCTGGTGACTTCAATGGTCATTGTGAAATAACAATAGGGCCCTGACTGCCTTCTCCTAAATAACCTGAGTACATATAGGTTCAGAAATAATTATGTAACATCCCTGCAGTCACACACATTGTTCCTGTAGCAAAAATGGGAATATTGCCCCTAAATGGACTAAAAAAAGTCAACAAATGATTCTGATCCTTTCTGGTCCACTCTTGCTACCTAATGAATTTATGTGAAACTTTCTAACCAAACCAGAATTTAAGTTCTTCAGAATTTTTCTGATTTTTCTATTAGAGAATAAAGGCATATACGTCCATAAAATTTTTCTCATTACTGTTTCTTGAGAAAATGGAAGTTGTTCACGGTAGCATGTACAGAGACCCAGAATATCATTGAGAATGTCTTCAAGGTTCCAGATGCTAAACTGTAGAAATTGCTAATTCTTAATTCTGTGTAAATAGAAATGTCTCTGATAGAGAAGATTTATTAGCCCATATCACATTACACAGGGGTTGTTAATAGCAAAGGTTACTCTCCCTTTGTCAGAACAGGAACAGAAATCCCAGAAAAGTTCAGGAGTTCCAGGGAAGGAATCCCACCAAGAGGCAGAAAGAAAGTCATTGGAACTGAGAAGACATTTGGGGGAGCCTGCCTCCCATAGATCAGAGCTAATCCTTCCTGCAGGAGATGGGGGTGGGTATTTCCATAGTTAAAGGAAAGAAATGGTCTAGTTTGAGATCAGAAGTTTGTCAAATGCATTTTGTTGCATCTTTTACACGAAGTAGATTTCCCAGTTGGGTGTTAGAATAAACAATTTGACTCACGGATAGAATATTTCTTGTTGTATTTGGTGCTTGGAGGCAATTGAAGGGAGCAAGTATTTGGTTACTTGGACCACTCTAGGTGGGTGAACTCGCCGAGTTATATAATCCTCTTGGACACTTAGCTCCCATATCTGTAAAATTGGAGTAAAATGTCTCCTCTCCAGATTTGTTGAGAGTATTGACAACCAGATATTTGTAAAACTCCTAGCCCAGGTCCCAGAGCACGTTAACATTTCGTGTGTGAGCTGCCTTCTCTGCTTTCTCAGTCCCTAACTTGTGATTAGATGTGTTTATCTAAATTGAATCACTTATATCATCTCCTTGTCCCATCTCTGACATTCTTGGAAGCCACTGACAGTATCTTAATGGTCCACGGTGTAAAGTTGGCTACACAACTATGGAATTCTAGTTTTCAGATCTTAAGAATGTGTCTATGACTAATTGTCAGGAGCAAGGTGTTCTTTGTGGTATGGCAATCTAAAAAATTTTCTTTAAGTAACCAGGTATAGATTTGGTGGAATAAAAACTTGAAGACTATTTTATTTAAAAAATACGACTATTCCTATAGATTAATGTGATGTCTTCTTTAAAAAATTCTAGTTTATAGAAATTTTATAACTTTTATCAAATCTCTTTTTACTCTGAAGATTGAAGTCAGGTCAAAAACTGCCACTTTATAAACTCAAATGTGTTCATTCAAAAGACCTAAATTTTTACTGTATTCTCAAGGAGCAGTGACTTAAAGTAGGGCATGGAAAGGCTTTTTTGCTAAGCTCACTCTTCGAGACTTTGGAAGATAAGCCTCCCCTTGTGTGAAATATGCAGCTACAGATACTCATCCTGCAACTTTCCAACTTGATTTACAAGGACTTGGTCTCTTATAGAATGCAGGACTCTGACTCTCCCCCCTCTCCTTCTCACTCATTCTCTCTCTCAAAAAAAAAAAAGCAAAGAGACTCAAAAATGATGCCTTATTCTGCTCTATATTTAACCAAGACCAGCCTCGCTCCAGAAAACGCAGCCCCACCCCTTCACCCCACACCACCAGAGATAGCCTTCTTTGTCCAGAATTCATAAAGAAGCTGAACCTAACTGAACACTTGCTTCTCTTACCACTAAAGTTCTTGGAGTAAAAAGTTCAAACACTTACCAGTGTGTTCAGGTGCGGGGTTGAGAAGACAGGCGCGGGGAGAGTGCGCTTGCTCCGAGGCTGGGCCGGCTCCTCTGCAGCAGTGGCTCTGGCTGCTCGGCTCCAGTTCTCTTATCAAGGGACCAGCTGCCGTTGTTGCCATGGGGATGCTCTGTTTCTCAGACGGCAGGGCAAGTGGGTTGGAGAGGAAAAGAGGACTAATCTCTCAGCCATTCCTCCACCTGCAATAATTGTTCATGATAAAAAAAAAGTACGTGGAGTGTCAGCCCCAGAGAACTCTGGACAAACTAGTTAGATCCTTCTATCCCTATAAGAATTCTGGGCTGGAACGGGGTTTTTGTTACTTGTCTTTGCAAAGACGGAAACAGAGGCAAACAAAGGTTATGGGTTCCCCTCAAGAGCTATAAGTTACATTCCCTTTCCTGTCTAGTTGAGATTAAATTCTGAGAACTTTCACTTACCCCTGCCGCCATTTAGAGTAGTATCATGATAAGAATAAGAATGGTAGTGGCAATTGCTGACATTGACATGTGGCTTGCTATGTGCCTGATCCTCCTGCTGACTGAGGTGATCTCCCAGCAGCATTGTGAGATAAGCCGCTGGCATCACTCCACTGATAGGGAAGCAGGGGCACAGGGCTGATGATTATCCGTCCCAGGTCTCATCCTGATAAATGGCAGTACCCAGACAAAACTGGGCAAAGGAATGCTAGAGTCTTTGTTCTTCACTTTGTGGTGCTACTGGAGAAAAAACATAAAGAAGCTGGAGAAATTAGCTCCTGTCTTTCATAGTTGGGGTGTGGAGGTTGAAAAAAAAAGTGCTGCTTCAAAGAAATTGCATCTTATGTTCAAATTATGGTTTCATAAGCCTTGCAGGAGAGTCTTGGGTCAAAGGATGGTTAAGCTAGGGTGGAAAATGGGGGTGCTAAGTTGTCAGGTACAGATGAAGGGTCTGTGCTTGGTGAAAGCCAACCGGAGGAAAAGTCATGTGCTGATTGGAGGGACATAGATTGTCTAGGCACCAAAAGAAGGTTGGTCTGGGAATCTGGTAGGAATCAGCATTATTGGGAGACATTAGGGGTACATTCTAAGGAGGTGACTGTCCACTGGTGATGTGAAGAAAGAGGGAAATGCTTGAGCGATACTCTAGTCCGCTTTCCATCTTGAGATTTGTGCAGTGAAGGTGCTGGGAAGCAGACTGCTTGTAAGGCATTGATTTATCATTCTTTCTACGCTGGTCCAATAACAGGACTGAAGCCATAATGAATGCATGCTGTAGGTGACTCCTACAGTTAGAATTTCTTCGAAGGCTATGGTAACAAGTGGAGAGTTGGCCTTCTTATTTGGCTTATTTTTTCTCTAATTTTACTGGAACATCCTGGAATGAGACAGGCTGTCAAAAGTTAACATGCCCTGTCAGGAAGGGGGACTGCAGGATGCTGAGGGAGGAGTCCTAGAAGCAGCTCTGTTGCAAATTGCTTGCTTTATTTTAAGAAAAGTCTGATGGCCAATGAGTTAGCAATTTCTTTGTTTTGAAATCTAAATAAGAAATATAGTTTCTACATTATTCAGTTATCTTTAAAAAGTAAGACTTTTTGAAGAAAATTTTATACTCATGTGCAGTTGAAAGAATAGAGAGAAATCTGTATCCTTTCATCAATTTCCTCCAGTGGTTCCATCTTGCAAAACTGTTGCGAAGGGGCTGGAGAGTTAGTACAGTGAGGAAGGTACTTGCCTTATTTTTGGCTGACCTGTGTTCAATATAGGAGTGATCCCTGAATGTAGGGATAGGAGTAAGCCCTGGGCACAGCTGGGTGTGGGCCCTAAACAAACAAACAAACAATCAAAAAACCCAAAACAAAAACTAGATAAATCAATATAATAATATATTGATTTAGCCAAGCTACAATACAATAATATAATAAATATAATAATATTTTGATATAGCCAAGGTACAAATCAGTTCCATCATCATAAGTATCTATAATGTTGACCTTATAAATCATACTCAATACCCTTCTCATCCTGTCTCACATTACCTATCCGTGGTCACTGGTAAATTGTTTTCCATTGTTATAGATTTGTCTTTTAAAAATAATATAAGTGAAATCATATAGAATGCAATAGTTCAGGTTTGACTTTTCTTTATTCATCATTACTCCTGGTGATCCATCAAGCTATTTTATGCATTAATAATTTAAGGCAGTAGTATTCTGCATATGTACTAAGATATCACCATTCACCTGTTTAGGATATTGGGATAATTTCTCATGTTTGTCTATTACAAATTAAAACTATTATCAATATTCATGTGCAGGCTTTAGTGTAAATATAATATTCACACAAATTTAAGAAATATGAGCATTTCTTGAGGACAAATGCCCAGGAGTTCACTTGTCATTCAATTTTCTAGTAAATTGCCAAACTGTTTTACAGAGTGGTTCTGGAAAATTTCCATTTTACCACCAACCGTTTATGAGTGATCCAGTTTCCCCATATACCTGGCATCATTCAGTATTGTTACAGTTTTTAAAAGTCATTCTCATAGGGGTACAGTGATATCTCATTGTGTTTTCATTTGCATTCCCCTGTAGTCTAATGATGTCGAACGTCTTTTTTTTTTTTTGGTGCTTATTTGCCATCTGTATGTTTCTTTGGTAAAATGTCATTTTACATATTTTCTTATTTTCTAATTGGATTGTTTGTTTTATTGATATTGGCTTTTGAAAATTTTTCTGAATACTAGTCTTTTCTCAGAAATATAATTTGCAAATATTTTCTCTATCTTTTCGCATTTAGCAGTCTTTTCAAAATTAAAAAAAAATTGATGAAGTCTAATTTATCCTTTAGTTCATTTTAAAGCATGTTTAGTCATGATTATTGTTTCAGTGACATGGAACTGTGTTAGGAATTTAAAGCAGTCTCCTCTCTCTTTTCTCAAGTTCAATGGGAATAATTTTGAGAGTGTAAATTTCAGATTTCTCCTTTGGTTAGACATGTGTACTTCTCCCAAGTTCAGGTTGCTGTTTTTTCTTTTTTTTCTGAGGGCTTTCTAATGCACCCTTTTAATTGATTATACCCCCCCCCCCCTTTAAGGCAGTTGTAAACAGCAACAGAGATGGCAGATGGTAATGTAAATCTATGCCTCAGAGAGTTCTAAATAGCAGCCACATATGTGCAGTGTTGGAAGTTATAGACCCTTGGCCTACAGCGCTCACGGTATAAGTGGAAGGAATCTTCGTGCTCATGACATGATTTGTAGGTCCAAGGGCCCTCTGATGTCTGGTTGAATTGGTCTGGCTTCATTCCTGATAGATGCCTAATGGTAACTAGCTTTAAATGAAATTATTTTTATATCAATCACAAATACTTAATCTTTATTATGACAGTGATTATAGTGTTGAACATTTCTAGACAACTTATAGTCTATAACCTGAATATGCACTTAAAATATTTGCCAACCAAAATAAACTTATAGCAGTTTCTGTGTCAGTGGGTGATAGGGTTCCAGCTTCTCCTGGAGAGAGAGAGAGAGAGAGAGAGAGAGAGAGAGAGAGAGAGAGAGAGAGAGAGAGAGAGAGAGAGAGAGAGAACTAAATATTTGCAGGCTGGCTTTATTCCAGAGTTCTTGCTGGATCACATCATCTGTGTATTCTTTAGCCTTAGGAGAATTGTTTCAAATCAATATCTTCTGGTAAATAAGTGTCTATGTTTTTGACAGCTTCAAGCACATTTTAGTTCTCCATAACAGAGGGCTATTTGAGTTAATAGAAAACAAATCAACCATTTCTTATGTGACTGAAATAAAAGTACAGAATCTTTTAAAAAATCATTTAAAATAATTTAAAAGGCATTATCAAAATAAGAGGTTATATTAACTTATTTGAGATAATTATGGATTCAATGATAAGAAATAATGAAAATAATTCATTCCTTACAATTATAAGAATTTATAGAGAAATAAGAAATAGTGCAATTATCCAAAATAATTTACAGAAAAATGTTAAACTATTTAAAGAAATCATTTATGATTTTACAGTATATAAAATTTCAAAAATTTTATGAAACTATAGTTATTATTTGCAATTATAGGAAATATCATGCTGTTGCTCCCCATGGTGAGACTTTTCAATTGTTTTGTTTTCCCCTACAGAATGTGTGACCTCAGCAATCCCTTCTGGCTTTTTTTGTTTTTGTCTTATTTTGGTCTCAAGAGTTAAGTCACCATTGCAATTATATATATATATACAGCATATAGACACATGCACTTATTTTTATGTTTTAATGTAAAGCAGCACGGATTTTTTTGTTATATGCCTTTTGGGACTCAGATGTAAATTGATGGTACTTCTTTTCTTTTCTTTTCTTTTCTTTTTTTCCTTTTATTCCCCCAAAGAATAAGACTAAAACTTAAACCGAATAAAAATGTTTACAGGTGAAACAAAGAAATAGTACAGAGGGTAAGGTGCTTGCCTTGCAAGTGGCAGACTTAGATTCGATACCGAGAATTGCATATTCACAATAGACATGCTACTAGTGCCTACTCGAGCAATTCGACGAACAGTGGGAGGACAGTACAGTGCAGTACACATCATTCTCTCCAGTTCCTTCCACTCTTTTGCAAATTCCAAAAAAATTTTTTGGTGGATTGCTGCCGGGGATGCTTGGGAAGAAAGAACCTCTTCTTGGGATACTATCTGGCTCTGTGAATCTGATGATTCAATTGCTATGGTTCTGTTGATAGTATACTTCACATTCAATGGTACTGGTGTCACCTGGGGCTGCAAGGGTCTCCATGCAGTATGTTGATTCTCATCATTTTGCGACATTCTTCGTTTCATGTAAATTTCTCCATTAGGTTCTACTTACAAGTATTTTGCAAAGTGTCTGTCATAGAGGCAGGCCAGGGGTGGGGTGGGGTGAGGAGGATGGCAGGAGGGAAATAGGGGGGCATTGGTGGTGGGAATTGTACTGGTGAAGGGATGGGTGTTTGAACATGGTATGACTGAAACCCAATCATTAACAACTTTGTAATTGTATCTTACTGTGACTCAATAAAAAAGATTTTTTAAAAGTTGCTTGTAATTCATCATCAATTGCCTCGAGCAGACCCCAGTAACATCTCCTTCATCCTAGCCCTGAGATTATATTCAAGGCTCTTTAGGAGAATGAGACCCATCATTGTTACTGGTAATTGGCATATTGGGTACACCACGGGGAGTTTGCCAGACTCTGCCATGTGGGAAGGCTACATTCGGTAGCCTGCCAGTTTGTCCAAAGTAGGAATGAGATAATAAGATGTCATAATAGGATGCCGCGGCTGTGCAGTTCCGGGAGCTGGTTTTTATAGTCTCTGAGTCTTGGCCATTGATGGGATTACACGGCTTGTAATTCATAGCCTTTTTTATTCTTTTACTTTCAAACTATCCATGTTGAATTTGAAGCAGATTTCTTATAGGCACCATATAGTTGGGTAGTATTTTTATTTTCCCCAATCTATAAATTTCAGTCACTTGACGTATTTCCACTTCATTATTTTATTATCTGCTTTCTCTCGTTTTTAAATTCATGTTCCTCTATTTCTTT